GGGGGGGGGGGGGGGGGGGGTGGGAAGGGGTCTATATTGGGATGATCGACTTTACCCCTGCCAGAAGTCGGACACTAGGGGTTGTTTGTTTGAGGTATAAGAAATAGGTGGTATCAAATTTTATATCCATTTCACTTCAATTCAATGGTATATTATACTCGATTTTAAATTATAATTCCATCATTCCCCTTGTTTGTTTGTCACAAATAATACCTACTTAAAAAAGTCAAAAAATGGCAATTACTCAATGTAAAAAGACAATTATAACCTTTAAAAAAGTCAAAAATTGCAATGGACTTTTATATGGGTCATTTTACATGAGGGCATTTGGGTCTTTTTACCATATTATACCTCAATGAAATTTATACCAAATATTATACCACCGGATAGTTGGTATTGAATAGCACCATGTAGAAGATATTAGTGTTACTGTTCACACCGGGTTAGTACTATGACCCTAAAATTAGTACCTAATAAAAATTATCAAACAAACAAGATATAAAATAAACCTCAAATACTATTTTCTTTATACCACCCATATCCTCAAACAAACGGCCCTGCGTGTCCCAACCCGTTAGAAATTTTGCATTACACATTTTGCAATAGGGGGCGACTATGACTAGCTTTTAGTGGATTCAATTAACTGATGATATGTCGAATGATTCGAATTGACTGAAAATTTCACTATCGTTGATTGATTTAAGCAATTACAGTATAGAATATATTAAATTAATAGATTTTAATTAAAAAATATATTATTTAGAACCCTATTTCTAGATTTTCAAAATAACATTTTTGTACACGGGTTAAATTTGAACACTAAGAGTTCGTTTAGTAACATTTTTGTTTTCGTGTTTTTAAAAAAAAATCAAAAAGAGAAATAATTTTTATTTTGCTTTTAATAAAAATTAAAAATATAAAACATGTTTGAGAGTTATTTGTGTTTATTAAATTATAAAAATTAAAATTAAAAATATGTTAGTTTATCACTTTAAGTTATATCGTAAATATTAGATTTATAATATCTCGTACAATAAAATAAAAATCAACACACAAATAGACAAACTCACACACACACACACACACACTTAAACACTAATGTTAAATCTATAATATAAAATATAACAGATTTTAATAAATTCATTTGACGATTTTAAATAAACTTATTCAACGACTACCAATATTCACATTACATGATAATTTTAAACACGAATTACTACTAATATATTACCGTATGGGGTGGATATCGACACACCCACCGCCATCTATTTCATGTCCCCAAATCCCACGATAGCCTTGCAATTCGTTGCATATTTCTCACGTAAAGGCTTACAAAATGTGAAGAAAAAAAAAGAGAAAATGTGATTTTGAAGATCAACATATTCATCTATTAAATTTTGAAAGAAATTATTTTTTTATATAATTTTTGTGTTTTGCTCTCTTAATATTTTTTCTTTTTTAATTTCACAACATTTCTCTTATTTTTTCCCTCCACACCCTGATTGATTGCCAGATCTGCCACTCTGATACAAGTCTCCTCTCCCCCGCCTCTCTCTCTCTCTCTCTCTCTCTCCACAAACATCATTCTCTGTAACTTTGCTCCGTGCAAAACCCTAGCACGATTGTCCCCTCTTCTTCCATACCCAATGACATTGGACAAATCTTCCAAGATCTTCGTTGCCGGCCACCGTGGCCTAGTTGGATCTGCCATAGTTCGCAAACTCCACCAACTGGGCTTCAGCAACCTCCTCCTCCGCACCCACTCCGATCTCGACCTCACCGATCAATCTGCCGTCGCCGCCTTCTTCTCCGCCGAAAAACCCGACTTCGTCATCCTCGCCGCCGCCAAAGTCGGCGGTATCCACGCTAACAACACCTATCCAGCTGACTTCATCACCATCAACCTCCAAATCCAAACCAATGTCATCACTTCCTCATACCAGCACGGTGTGAAAAAGTTGCTCTTCTTGGGTTCATCTTGTATTTATCCCAAATTCGCACCCCAACCCATACCAGAGAATTCCCTTTTGACAGGCCCCTTGGAACCCACAAATGAATGGTATGCAGTGGCGAAGATAGCTGGGATCAAAATGTGCCAGGCATATAGAATTCAATTCAATTTTGATGCAATTTCTTTGATGCCCACAAATTTATATGGCCCTAATGATAATTTTCACCCCGAGAATTCTCATGTTTTGCCTGGATTGATAAGGAGGTTTCATGAGGCAAAATTGTTGGATGCGAAGGAGGTGGTGGTGTGGGGGACTGGTTCGCCTTTGAGGGAGTTTTTACATGTGGATGATTTGGCAGACGCAGTGATTTTTAGTTTGGAGAAGTACAGTGGATTGGAGCATTTGAATGTGGGTAGTGGGAGAGAGGAGAGTATCAAAGAGTTGGCGGAGTTGGTGAAGCAGGTGGTGGGGTTTGAGGGTGAGATTGTTTGGGATAAGTCGAAGCCGGATGGTACTCCAAGGAAGCTCATGGATAGCTCCAAGCTGATGGGATTGGGTTGGGAGGCGAAGATTTCGCTCCGTGATGGACTTGTTGATACCTATAAGTGGTACTTGGAGAATTATAAGCAATGATTCAGGTGATTCCACCAGAAATGATTTTTATTGTACTATGGATCATTGCTATGATATGTTGTTATCCCCATTATGAGCAGTGGGAATTTATATGTAGCATTATCATTTGTATTGCTTTGTTGTTCAATCTTTATTTTTGCACGAAACTATTGAATTGAGTGAAAAATTGTTAAGAAATTTATTTATGGATATTGGTGTTGCCTGTTGTTATAATTTAACTTTTGTTCTAGTTTTTCGTATACAATGATGGCTGGAGGCTGGTGCTGTGTGACTTCTTATTCCTTGCCAAGTATAGGAGAAACCTTGAAAGCAGTGGCTTTGCAAATAGTCTGGTGCAGACTTATGCTTTTTATGATCCTATTTACATTTGGCTTCTGTCATGCACTGGGATAAATGATTTAATATCTATCTTCATGCCAGTTGTGTTTTGAGAATTTTGTGGAAATAAATGTAGCTGTCTCATTTCCATTGGGCTTTTATTTTGTGAAGTGCTCGTGTGTCAAGCTTGAGAATGTGAGTCCAAGTGTGTCAATTTAAAATAGCTGAAAGCTAGATCTGTATCTTCCCTGTCCCTCCAAGCACCTTGCATTAGCAGGATCCAACTGGATAGTTTCCAGTTAACTCTTTGTATGTCTGCTTTATGGCAATCATATTGCGCATCTAGAAGCATCCAACCATGCATGTCTGGTTAAAAATATGCAAACAAACAAAGATTTCTCCCAAGTCTATTTGTGCTTTGTATGTTTTCCATAGCATATCTAGGGCATTCTTTTTACAAGTGTTTTGTTTTGTTCCTTATGTCTTCCTAGATTTAGTTTACTGGGAAATTACTTGTGAAGTTTATAGTTTCTCTTTCTTCAAGATAGGGAGCAAATGGCTCATTTTCTTTCTACTTGTAACTGTGAAATAAAGTAGTGTAGCTCTTTATTAATCGAAAACCAAGAAGCCATTCCATGTGCCGTGTGTAAGCCATATTCCTCACTACTTAGTCTAACATCTGGTTTTTGTCTTCCATTAATCCTTTTATTGCTTTTAAATTTAAGTTGATGACTCCAATGTAGTTGGTCATCTGTTGTAATTGCTTATGAAAATGCCATCTTAGCTGATAATCCCTCAGATTGTCCTTTATTATTGCTTTCTGGGCCTATTTTGACGAAATATGTTTTTACATCTGTCCATTCTTGTCTTGCCTATGCATCTCAATGCTATCATTTTGACAATTCTCATTTTCTGCCCCATCTCATGGAATCAATAAGGAGCTGATTTCCGCTTCCAACCTTAGATTTGGATCTTCCCTCTTCCGGGTCCTAAGTTTTGTACCACATCAACAGATCCATTTGCTGGGCTTCCGCTGACATGGGTTTGCGCTAGTAATAATCAAAGGCTTTGATATAGAATGCCTTTTACTGTGCCTTTGCAGTCTCCATCGGAAAAGCATTGCCTGTTTGTATAGGTTTACAAAAATGTGTTTCTGTCTGATTTCATCATGTAAAATGCAATTCAGCAGGACAAAATGAGCACCAGTATCTTTATTTCAATTCGAATGTGCTCGTAAACTATCATTTATTTCTCAATTTATTTCTCAATTTCACATATATATTCTTCTCATTGTAAAACTAGCCCATGTGTATGAACATGTAGGATTCAGGTCTGATTTAGATCAGTTATGTCCCTTGTACAATTTCCTAAATTTTGTCACAAGTTTTGCTCTATTGCCTTCAGATATGGTGCATTTCATGACCATTTTCACTATAAATAGTGTGAAGAAGAAATTCATCATCAGAAAATACCCTTGATTTCATATTTCATCTGCCAACCAACTAAGATCCTCACATGAGCTTTTGCAATGCAAAACATTGCATATGATTAAAAGAAACTGAAATTTACACTTTGTCCTTTTAGATTTGCTTCATTTCTGAGTTCATGCTATTTTGTAATATTTTTTAGCTGAACCGCCGAACGACCCAGTTTGAATGTCCTAATGGGCCTTTGTAAATTTTTGATATATGCTACTCATTATCATGTATTCTATTCCCTCCCCCCCCCCCCCCCC